GGCAGGGGCCGCCCCGCCCTCCGACCGCGCCCCTGCGTCCCGGCGCGGTACACCGGGCCTGTCTCTCCTGGCTGGAAGCCTCCCCAGCTTCTCGGCCCAGCCGTGAGGCTCAGAGACGCCGAAATGCGGACCAGTTCTACTCTGTAACTCGCTTCTCGTCGCTTCTCCGCACTCGCAGCCTTACGCACGTGCGAACGACGCCGCACAGGAGGCCGGAAGTGACGTCGTCCCCAAGGCCTCTGCGCTCCACCAGGCGGGTTTCAGGCGCAGAGCTGGTAGGACGTCGCCCCTGAGCCAAAGGCCGCACTCCCAACCCGAGAAACTGCTGTAGAAGGAATCAAAGAGCGGTCAGGCTGGGATCACACGTGCAGGAGGATGGGGCGTGGCCACAGGTGTACAGCTGGCTGTGGAGACCCAGGCACAGGTGGATGCAGACTCCTGTGGGCCGTTTCCGTTCATTCGTGGCCACTTCCTGTGAGAAGCGCAAAGTCGGCGGTGGAGCGCCTTTGCCATTTTCCTGAGGTACAAGATGTTGAACTCTTGTCTCTTCCAGCTTCTTTGCCCCGGTGTCGCGAGCAGGAAGCAAGGATAGTAATAAGAGTAGGCAAACGCCAAATGCCTTTTCTGAATGCTTTTTTTTGGTACCGGAGATTGAGCTCGGATCCTTGCTCTTGCAAGGCAAGCCACTGAACCGCTGAGCTAAATCCCCGACCCCTTTCTGAATGCTTTTAATCATACAATACACACTTCTACTAACTGCCACCCCTCAGTTGCCACTCCCTGTACCTGCACAGATCCGAGGAGCGCGACTTCCTTCTCCTGTAAGTTGATTCGTGGGTCAGCGTCGGCTGTGGCCAGTGCCCTCGCCTCCGGGGGTGCACTCAGGGCTGGTGCCTCCCGATGTCCTGGGTCAGAGTCTTGGCAGTGACCTCGTGCAAGATCACATATGCGGCCAGTGGCCACCAAGTCTCCTTGTCACCGAGTGCGACGAGCTAGTCTTCTGTGCTCTCTCTTTTATACTGTTCTTATGTCTGTGTGGCACTGATTCGGGCTTATCTATTACATTACTTCACACACGAGGGTCTTACAGGTGCCTATCATTTCAGGGGCCAACTCCTACACACACACATGTACACCCATTGTGCATGGACTCTGCAGAGGCTTTCTCCACTTATCAGCCTTGTTCAGTCATGGCCTCTGTCACGGCCTCAGGCTCAGTGACAGCTGTCATTGGAAAAGGATGTAAATTATATAATGAATTTTGCACTAAGTGTTTGCTCTCCACACCCGGCCCAGCCCTCAGAAAATGCGTGGTCCAGGGGGCTTGAGGCTGGACGAGGCAGCCGTGTGTTCCGCCCCAGAGCACCAGCCTTGCTCCTGGGCAGAGCCAGGAAAACTGCGTTCGACCCCACCCCACCCCAGAAGCACCAGGTTTTGTTTGGTTTTGTTTTTGCTAATTGAGAGTAGTTTAAAACTCATGATTAATTTTTGTAATGAAATTGTAAACGTGACCTTGATTGAGGTGATTCAGCTCTATTTGCAAATATGGCATTTTATCCTGTCGAAAAAGCAATAAAGGGTTTTGCAGCAGTCCTGGAATCCCGCCTGGCCCCTATCGGCCACTTCCCTGCTAGGGCACTGCAGGGAGCTGTGCTCCTTCAGTGACATTCACCTCTCTGGGATTTTAAATGTTCAGTAAATTATTAGGCAAATAGAACTGTAACAGGCTTGTATTTATGGATATGTAGAAAGAAAACACAGGTCCCGGTAGGCCAAGATAAGAGGTTCGTTTTGAAAATTAGAGCACATAGCCTCTCCCTGTTTCCTGGACAGCTCTGAGAAACAAGGGTGAAGGCTGGGCCCGGATTCACATATGGCCTGCGTTCTCCTTGGCATGCTGCGCTCTCTCTCTCTGTGTGGGACAGGACCTGGTCATCTCAGGTTAAAGCTCTAGAATGTCTGTCGGCCAAGTCCTAGGGGCTGTGAGGATAATCCAGGAGCTCTGGTCACCTTCCTGCATCATCCCCTTGCTTCTGTGGGCTTGTCACATTTAGGACACGAAAAGCAATATTGCTGGGACCAGAAAGGACATCTAGGGTCCCCTGTCCACTGCAGTCAGTGGAAGGGTGAAGGTGGGTGAACGCCTGCCCTTGCAGAGAAAGGAGGGAGTTTAACCATGTCTTAAAACTCTGCTAGGTGCCAGGGATTTAGCTCAGTGTGCTGCCACCTGCCTCGCAAGCACAAGATCCTGAGTTTGATCCCCAGCACACACAAAAAAATTCTGCCAGAAAAACAAAGTTTTTGCTTTTCCTTTACTACAGGTCAGTCTCAATTTTCCAGTTAATATTTGAAACAACTTTAACAGGAAATAAGAAGTGAGTGAAATAGAGCAGCTCTGTTTTGTTCTGGGCCCAAACTGGACACATGTGGGGAAATCCCCACGTAGAAATGAAAGTTCATGTGTGTTTTGCTGTACAGTGTGAAATTATTTTCCTGTCTCTTCTACTATAAAATGACTCAGAATTACTATAAAATAATTAGAGGTATTGCAGCAATAAAACTGCCCCCATCTGTAGGCTATTAAAGTGCTCTCCAATATTAAAAAAAAAAAAAATACTGCAGCCCATTCCTGGAAAACTGGGTACTGGGCCAAATGCATTGAAACCATCCGTTCCAAATAAACAGAAGTGGTTGGACCCTGGGACAGAGGCATAGGCCAGTAGTGCTATGGCTTGTGTTTAGATCAGGGGCACTAGGATTAAGCACGTGAGTGCTACCTGCCCTCAGTAGCATGGATAAGACAGAAGGGATAGAAAGAGCTGTGGCCATCCCTTGTTGCTTTGCTGCCTTCTGCCAGCCATGAACTCTTTCTCCTCTGTGATGCATGACTGCAGTGCCACCCTGCCTTGGAGCGAGCTGACTAGGGACCAAAACCTCTGCGAACTGTGGACTAAATAAACCTTTCTTTCCTTAACTTGTAGATGTTGGATATTTCGTCTCAGCAATGAGAAAAGTAACTATAACGGTTAACAACACTCAGAGGGCACCCCTGGAAAGTAGACATTAATTAGAGGTCTTCAAGGTAGAAACAAAGCTTTCCACTGTGACCACTCTCCAAGCCTCGG